GCGTTTTGGCGTTCAAAGTTTGCATCCGGGCTGACGCTGTGTCCTCAGTTGTTGCCTTTGGCACCCACACTTCTAAAGTTAAGCCTCGTGTGATTTTTTTTTTTCTTTTTTTTAATGTATTTTTGAGACCATCCATCCCCCTCCCTGTCCTGATGCCAGATGCTGTCTCAGTTGCAAACCAGCGGCACGGCGAATCCGTCCTCGCTCGCTGATGCATTGGGTGGAGGCACAGACGAGCGCTTGAGATCCTGTTGGTGTCGATGGTGGCGCCTTTTTTAATAGTTACCTTGAGTTCTTCAGCACTTTCAGGATGCTGCTGGCCTCAGAGACCTCTGCCTCTGTGCGTGACCGTGTCTGTGTGCGGATAATGGAGCCCAGCCTGGTGTGTCCTTGTCTAAACTGCACTTTGCTGGGGAAGAAATGTCTCTGCTGCTGTTCTAGTGGAAAGGGCTTTTGCATATGTCAGAGGAGTAAACTGTTGTTCTCTTAAAAATGCAGCCAGTGACTTAAGAATAAGCTTACAGAGGGCAGTTGTGAGCGTTTAGGGTAACGTAAAATAAACGTGCTTTGCATTCTGTACGTTAATATTCCCGACTGCTTCCAGTAAACGCTGAGATAACTCGTTTGGGAACTTCTCAAGGGTGCTTTTTCCCAAACATGCACACACACAAAAAGAAGTGAAAAGCAGAACTTTTGTTCCCCCTAGGAACACCCCTCCAGCCCTTCCCCGACACTAAAACGAGAACTGTTGCCAGATGTGACATTTACAGAAGCATCCCCCCTCCCTCTGTGGCAGGGGGGGGGGGCGGGCCCGTCCCTCTGGGGCAGGAGAGCTTCGGGACCACGAGCCTGCTCGGAGCCGGCATCCCATGGAGTTCTTCCAGCTGAATCAGTCCGGCACGTGGATGCCTCGTTCCCGTGCCAAATCCTGCTCGTGTCCCTCCGCTCTGGGCAGGGTGGGCAGCATGGTGCTGGACCCGAAGGAGCGAACCACAACGAGTCTCCGTGCTCGTCTGGATTTTGCGATTCGACCTGTGACACCGTGAGGCTCGACGTGCAATAATGACACGATGCTCTGCTTTGTTTTCTAGCTCGAGTGACGCCCGCTCGGGGCGTTGCTTCACTTACAGAGCTTGCAGCAACTGCAGGTCATGTCCCTCTGTGCGTGTGTGACCAGCCCAGGACACCCGTAGGTGTTTCTTGTGTGGGGATGCTCGTAATGACGCGCTGTCGCTCAGCCGCGCCGTGCCGACGTTGCGCAGGTGACCTGGTTGGGCTCGACACAGCCGGTGCCTGAGTTGCGGCTCCC